CTTGATTTTTTTTCAAAACGAGTAGCTCTTTTCTTAACAAAAATTTTTATTTCTAGTCTCGCATGTTTAGAAAAACGTCGAAGCGTGGTAGTCGATTATAAACTGCAAAAACGGGCTAGTTACTCAATCCTATGAACTTCATTAAGGACTCAATCTCTGAACATGTCAGTATGTATTGTTACTGAAAGTCACATTCCTCATACAAAAAGCATTTGACTATGCATACAATGCTGAAAATTTGCATATTTTATCGCACTTAAAATTACTAGACCCTATCGTTTATGTCATTAACACGTTTATTATCTACCTCATATTTTTCTGGAATTCAGTTTCGGTCATTTTGTCTCGTGCTCTTTCCGATTCAACCATGACCAATAACTGTTGAACTGCAAGATACTCAGACAGAATATACGATCTTCCGTCAGCGGTAAGGGTGATATGATCGGACTTGGTCTATCTTTGAACATATTTGGGATTATTATTGTTTTCTGCAACTTTTCTTATGCAACGACGGTCCATAACTGTCGCTCTGAAAAAAAGCCAAATCCGGATGGAGTTGAAAATCGTGGCCTACAGTAGGCTCAGATATACTGGAATGGATACGTTCAGTTCCTGTTGTTTACCTTGATCTTTGTCATTTGCTCTCAATGTGTTTATTTTCTGTGCTTTTTAAGTGACATTTTAAATTCTTGTTGTACTGAGAATTATTCAAGCAAAATCTGCTTGTTCTTTAATCTGGTTTAGAGATAATTGGCTAGGAGAATTTTATATACATTGGCCTCATGCAGCTGAAATTATTTTCACAAAAAATTGTGGTTTTGATAAGTACCTGACAGGACATGTTTTACGATGCCCTTTATTCAAGCCTGAAGCGGAGTCCATGTAATTTTTTTAAGGGAAATGGCGGATGTTAAATCCTGATGATCTTACCTCTTTCAGTTTCTTTGAAAGTGGTTGACAAAAACAACGAAATAATCCTTATCTAGTTCAACACCGGATTAAAGCGGCGTAATGGCACCCTCCCTCTGCTCCTACTCGCCTAGGGGGCCACTTGAGCAGGTCACGGTTACATGGTATATGAGCACCCGCAGTGCATGGATGCAGAACTGCGTCACTACACAGGGCTGAACAAAGGTCTATTCGGACACCTGCAAATATGCTATGATCCGTATGCATATTAATATATAGAAATGAAACCCATTCTTATGGACTTACTAGCATACTGCTAGTTGTCGATACCGCCGTCAAGATAAATTATTTTTGTGTATAAATATGCCTACGGATCGTGGCATATTTACAGGTGTCCGAATAGGCCTTTATTCGGCCCCGCCTAGAGATGCGGTTCTGCATCCATGCACTGCAGTTGCTCAAACCATGGAGCCACGGTTTGCTTAATTAATCCCACTAGATGCAGCAAAACGGTGCTTACGCCGCTTCAATCCGATATCAGAAGAGAAAATGGTTATTTCTTTTAGCGGTGGTATCGATGACTAGCAGTATGCTAGTAAGCCCATATGGTCTGTTTTTTTGCATATAAAAAGCAACGAAAATTCAAATTGGATTTGCGCTACAGTCAATACAGCAATGCTTCCTTGATCAAAAAGCTTTGTACATACAGTGTTGGTCAATCGTGCACGCGTGTCGTAAATTATTGCCAATGTTTCTGTCAGTAACGGACATGTTAAAGACAACAGAATGATTAAACGACTCGAATTACAATAGGGGAAGCAGAAAAACAAGATGAATAACAAAATCAGGCGTACAATCCCAACGTGTAAAGCACATTGCATAGACGAAACGGGCAACATTCTAGAAGAAAGGAAAACCGAATGCAACAGAAGTCACTCTGACTGAAAAACACTGATTGCAGAGAAAATGGTTGTCAGCGAGCAGGTAAAGGATGAAGACAAACCAAAGGTCCAAAGTTTGTTAAAGCGGAATGCGAGGCAAACTCCGCTATTGTGCAGCATACCATGATCTGCTATTGGATCGATTCATGAAAAATGGAACTTGTCGCACGGAAAAAACGGTAGATAAATCAAGTACATATTACTTATTTACAAATCCCTCCGTGTAACCTATGGTCAAGCGTCGGCAACACAAGACTGAGAATATGGAACGGTCGCTCAAGATGAATGAAAAGCGTTGCAGTATCAACATATAGCGGTACAGTACAGTAATGAATTAGCCTGACTTCACGAAAACTGTATAGTGCTTCATCTGCTGCTGCTCGAAAGATGAAACGATCATAGCGCAATACGTCAGTTGTGCCAGTAAAGTATTTGTAAGTACAACTCGTTGTGTAGTTCCCCGTTTGTGTATTCAGGCAAAATTATTATTTCATTTATAAGTATTCACAGCATCAACAT